CTTGATTCTTGGGCTCCTCTGGTCTGCTATTGGGTGTCTGTATAATATTCTTTATTTCAGTCCGTGTATGCTTAATTTCTAGTTGTTTCTTTATCATAGCATCGAGGGTCTCATTAGTTTTCGTGAGTCTCTCCTCAAGTTTATTGGCAGCTTCTAGCACATTTTTGCAAGCCCTCAAAATTGCGTTTTTTAGCTCTATATCGTCCATTTCTGTCATGTTTTTTTGTCTCCGCATTTTTTATGCTTTCTTGGTGCACCCCCTAGTGGTCTTTGTGCGCAGTCTTGTTCTAGTTGAGCCTTGATTGTTGTAGTTAATACTAGAGGGATTTGACCACCAGGCCGACTGGCTGTGTGAATCAGCTGTGTCTGCTGCGGAAAACTTCTGTCTATTCTTTTCCTTTTTATTGAATTGCCTGAGTAATAAAAGATATTTGCTTCTATTCTGTTCCATAAATTTTTCCTGAGGAACTAGATATATTGCTTTGCTTCTATTTAGTAAGCTTTTAAGTGTTCTGCTAAAAGACCATTATACTTAGGTGTCTAAATAAGGATATTATTAAATTAGCAATTGCAATAAATTAATCAATTAAACTTCCTTTCCTACGTACATTTATAGTTTCAGCTATAAAGTTTTTTTTCTTCACTACAGTATATCAAATATTGGCATAATGCTGTTACTTATGAAATACCACATTTCATTAACTTTTATGAAGTGATGACATATTTGGGCAGTAATTCTTAGTTATTTTTAGTTATTACTAACTTGACTTTTATTTCTGTGTGTAGGATTGTGGATAATATGCCTGTAACATGGTGTTATGATGTCGAAGATGGTCAGAAGTTCTGTAATCCTGGATTTCCTATTGGCTGTTACATTACAGATAAAGGCCGTGCTAAAGATGCCTGTGTTATTAGTGTAAGTTTGTGATAAACGCTATGCTTCTTTTTAAAATATGTTTTTATTGATTTCAGAGAAAGGAAGGGAGAGAGAGAGAGAGAGAGAGAGAGAGACACACACACATCAGTGAGAGAGAAACATTGATGCACTGCCTCCTGCACACCCCTTACTGGGGATCGAGCCCAAAACCCAGGCATATGCCCTGACCACAAATCGAACCAGTGACCTCCTGGTGCATGGGACAAAGCTCAACCAACTGAGCCACATCAGCTGGGCTCTATGCTTCTTTTTAAAGTACGGGTTTTGGTAGAAAGATTCTTTACCCAGACATAATTGTTATACTCATCAAATGAGTGCAGCTCAGATGTTCTGAATTACAACTACTTAGATATTAAACCTAAGTCAGATTAACAGTGTACAAATTTAGCCCTGGGACAAAAATAATTCAGATTTAGTTCAACATTTACTGAGTGTCTGTTACGTGCTAAGGACTAGGACTTTGTCCGTTCTGATTCTGTTAAAAGTTAGTTTTACATCTTATGTATAAAAATCTATAGAGAATGTAGTGCCAAAAAGACCTCAATGTAAATCCATGAAATTTGCAGTGCCAAAAAGACTTCAATGTAAATCCATGAAATTTGTATTGCAAATTAAGTCCATGTGTTGTAAAAGTTTGGTTTTACACCTTTTTTTAAAAGGCATGTCTTTGAGTTCATACTTTGAGGTCATAATAGAGTGAAGACATTAATATAGAAAGTAATTAAAATTATTGGGGATGTATATTAAATTTTGTGTAATCAGGTCACCCTGATTTAGGTTATTAGTTTAGACTGAAGTTATAAACTTCCATGGAGGAAAAGTGTTAAAATGTTTAAGTTTTAGCACACTTAAAATGTAATATTTTAAAATTTATTTTGTAAGTTACATTGTGGTGAAAACCTAGAATATATAGATGTATTCTTTATAACAAGCACTTAATAAGTTCTATGTAAGAATTAAAACATTAAAGAAATGTAATTTGTACCTCTGCCAATTAGTTTGGCTTATAAAGAGTTTAAGCTTAAAACTGAAATATTTTTATGGGGAAGGATTAAAATCCTGTCTAAGCTTAAATTTTCCTAGTTGTTGTGACTAATTTTGAAGTTTTTTATGTTTTAACTCTTGTATAGCCAGTTTCTACCTTTAACTTTAAGTTCTGTTCCACAGTCAGACTATCATGAAAGAGATACATTTTACATCTTCAACCACGTTGACATAAAAATACACTACCACGTTGTTGAAACTGGGTCCATGGGAGCAAGATTAGTGGCTGCTAAACTTGAACCAAAAAGGTAACTATACAAATATAAAAAGTAAAAATATAAGTGAAATTTAGACCCAAAGAATAAATATTTCAGGCCTAATTAACTTTTTCCTTAATCAGTATTCTAGCATATAATCTGGCATTTCAGGATTGATTTTACTAAAACTCCCTTTGGCATGATTTGTTGCTGAGTTCCGGGGGGTTTTTTTCTGTCAGTGGTCAAGTGGTCAAGCCAAGGTGCCTTTTTGTTTTGTTTTTCAGTCAGGAAGTTTTGACAGCTTTCTCATGTCAGGTTGGAATGGAGAATGTGAGGTGTTTGGGACAGAGTTCCTTTACAATGGAAAAGCATTGCTTCAGATATTTGCAGCTTGACCTCTCATCAGAGGCCTAGATGAGCTGATTAGTGCTGTCATTTTGAAAGTCTCCATGCAGTGTTAGATGCCAGTATATGACAAGTCATTAAAAGGGCATCTCTTTAGCTTGTTAAGCTTTTAGTGTCAAAGTACCTATTAGTTATTTTTGAGGTCTTTTTGATTTGAGTATTCCATTTTTTCCATGAACATCCACACCACCACCAATTGAATTAGCCATTTTCACTGCTGGTAAAAAAATGTACCCCATAATAAGATGGCAGTTAATTTAAACTCCCTCAGTGTGTGTGTGTTTGTTTGTTTAAGATTATTTAATGCTTTTCAAGTCTAGTGTTTTCAAAAGTTTGTTTCTAATTTTGAGTAATAATTTGTATCCATTCTTATAACTAAGCCCATTATTTGAGTGAAGTAAATGTTTTATACTATTAAATGTGACATGAATAATTTCATGTTTGATTTTCAGCATTGTGAAATATTTACAAAATATCTAACCTTTACCCCATTTTTTGAAACTGTACTTCATTAACATCTTTCCAAAATGTTTCTTCCCACAGTTACAAACATACCCATATAGATAAACCAGACTGCTCTGGAACCCCCATGGATATAAGTAACAAGGCCTCTGGGGAGATCAAAATTGCCTATACTTACTCTGTTAGCTTCGAGGTGAGTTTGTTATTATTTTTAATGTAACTCAGAAATTGATTTTAAATTCATACTACTTAAACTAATTAAAATATTAATGATTAAGCTTGTCAGATAGATAAGCTTTTAATGAACTGATTTTTGGAATAGTTTATCCTATCCGTGCACCAGGCAATATAATCACACTCAAAACTAAGTCTTCATTTAAATGAGAAGCATAGCAACTTGGAGAATTGAGTCCGATTAATTAAGCCATAAGAGATACATATGACAAAAGGTAGAAAATAGGCATAGAAGTTGTGAAATTGTCAAAGATATATGCCACAAGTATTTGGGAAAAATACCATTTTTAAATCTGGGTTTGAGTATCAACTTAAAACATTTCCTGATGGTAGATGATTTATATAGGTTCTTAGGGAATTCACGGGGGAGTGTTTTAATTAATAAAGAAGTTTTTTAGGAGGAAAGTAAAAGTTTATTTTATGAGGATCTTAGGCAATATTTCACCTCTATTTTTAATAAACTATTTTGGCAATCCAGTGTAGTTGTGACATTTACTATCCCCATATAGTGTGTAATTTTGTAAGCCTAGTACAATAAACAATATATATTTCTTTCTAGGTATTAAGAGCTCCGTGTGGGTGACACCTGCCAGATGTTCAGTGTGCCTAGGTTATGACTTGGTCTAGTTAAGTGTCTTATAGGTATAGATAGATGGTGTCAAAGCAAATAAGTTATTCCACTCAATTTTCTGAAAAAAAAAACAAAAACAAATATAGCCCTAAATTTTAACATCTAAAATAGACCCTTACTATTTAAAATTTAAAGCAAGATTTTGAAAAAGTACAAGTAAGTAGGTACCTGTAGGAACTCTTTTTTTTAATTTACTATTTAATCTCATTCTGATTTTTCAGAGACTTGAGTAAATTGAAACTCTCTGAATCTCATGACTAACCCAAATTATGATAACAAGAAATTGCATTTGTTGTTTGAATGGAAGGTCAAGCTGAGAATGGAAATTTTTGGATTCTTAATATATTTTGTCAGCAAATGATTATTTGAAGAGTTTTGTTTTGTTTTTAATCCCTGTAGGAAGATCCAAAGATCAGGTGGGCATCTAGATGGGACTATATTCTGGAATCTATGCCTCATACCCACATTCAGTGGTTTAGGTAAGACTATAATTAATCTGCTTTCTGCTCTATACTTATTGTACTCTTTGTCCCTTTAAACATCTGATTCACTCTAATTCTCCTCAGTTATTCAAAAGTGCTGACCTTTTAAATCAGAGATGGATTCAATTCTGGATTTAAGTTACTGGTTATGAGTCAGACCAGGTCACTCCATTTTTCAGAGTCCATTTCTTTATCTAGAAATATCTGCCTCATGGGACTGTTCTAAGGAGTAAAGGAAATAATGAAACAGCATTTGAGCACCTTACCTAGAAAGGAAGAGTGCTCAGTAAACAAGCTACTGCTATTGTTGTGACTATTTATTCTCTCTTAAAAGAGTGACTCAAAACTTCTATCTAGAAAACTATTCATGGTGCCAACTATCCTTTGACACTCATTAATTTACTGAGTAAATTTGTTCTTCACTAAATTTCTTGAGGAACAGATCAGTCCTTTGTTGATTCTTACAGCTTGTGTTGCACTGATTTGGGCACCCTAGTTATTTAATAATGCTGAGCATGAAAAAAAAATTCTAGTTCTTAGCAGACCACAAAACTATATTATAAGTGTACAAAGTTAGGTATATACTGGAAAGTCACATAGCAGAACACAGTTCATTAAATTTGTTGAATTTCAGGTAAAATTTTTATTTTGAAAAATACTGTCTTAATATTATTTAGTAAACAACTTAAAAAGGAGTTTCACTGTTGCAAAGATTAAGATACAGATTAATCCTGACGTGTATTTCTACAGCATTATGAATTCCCTGGTCATTGTCCTCTTCTTGTCTGGAATGGTCGCTATGATTATGCTACGGACGCTGCATAAAGATATTGCCAGATATAATCAGATGGATTCTACGGTGAGTGAAACATTTGAATTGTTCTTCTGTTCCAAAAAATGTCTTTATATTTTCTTTGGAAAGGTTTGATTTTTTTTTAATTTTTCAGTTGCAGTTTATATTCAGTATTATTTTGTGCTAGTTTCAGGTGTACAGAATAGTGGTTCATCAATTAACATATTTTGCAAAATGGTTCCCCCAATATGGAAAGGTTCTAAATAATAACTTTAGACAGAATGTGCTTTTAAAACATTCTTCTCAAAAGTTATCCTGCATTCACATTTTCAAATAAGAAAATGATCGTTAAGAATTTGGCATTCTCTAGAAAGTCAGTCACCACAGCATAGAGAATTGAACTGTTCACAGCCTCATTTGTGTCAGTATTTTGGTGCAGAATGGATGTAGGTGCACAGCTGGTTCTGTCCTCTTTTTCACTTACGTGCTATCAGCTCTGTCAGATTCTCCATTCCCAGCATACACTCAGTGTGTGAAACAGCGAAGCTGAATGGAATAACTCCCAAGAAATTTTTTTTTGTGTGTATATTTAACTTTCAAAATTTTATTTTAATTGAATATCATTTCTACGTTTAGGTATATTCAAAGTAACTTACTGTCCCGACCTCATTTATTCTCAAACATTTTAAGTTGCATAATGTTATACATTTTATAGCTTTTCATTTATAACAGCTGTTTAACAAAATTTCCATAAGAACCACAGTGACTTGTCATAAATACAAAACACTCAGATTTTTATTGTTTTCTCTTCCCCAGCCTCTTAGCCTTCCCCCTTAACCTTTCTGTCCTCTTCTAATTAGAAAAGAACATGTTAATATTTATAAGCTTTTTAGCACCTCTATTCTATAATCCTTTTTCATGATTTTTATTGTTTTATTACATATTTTATTAAAATAATTTCAAGATACTCTGTTCATAATTGACATTTCCAAATAATCACTGAGTTAGTGGCATTTTCTTAATTTAATCAGAGGTGTGCCATGGGATACAGGGTCAGGGCAACCCTCCTTCTATTCTTGCTTCCATTCTTTTCCTACCTCCAGTTTCCTGCTGTAGCAGTCAGAGCAAATCTGTTTAAACATAAATCAGATCATTTCACTCCTGATCACAACCTTCTACTGGCTTTCCATTTTACTTAGAGTGAAAGCCAAAGTCTTTACAATGATCCAGAAGGATCATTGCTTTTCTCTATACCTCGAATGTTCATCCCTCAAATATTTACATGTCTGGCTCCCCTACTTCCTTCAAGTCTTTACTGAAACATCTTCCCATGTTCTCCACCCCACATAAATATCCATGCTTCCTAATTTTTTTTCTATAGCACTTCCACCATCTAATGTACTATATATTTTATTGTCTGCCTTCCCAATGAGAACACACACTCATGAAAACAGGGATTTTTCTGTTACACTCACTGTAGTATCACTGGTGTTTTGAACAGTTCTGAGCATATAATTGGTGCTGAATAAATATTTGTTGAATAAATGAATCAACTAGTCAGTTCTTTATGTGCCAGATTTGTTGGCGCATTGCTGAGCTCGAGGTAGGTAAGAAACGTATACAAGGACTACCCCCAGTGCGCTACCCCCTCTCCAGAAAAGTGAACTGAGGCCAGAGCAGGAAGCATGGGAGGTAAAAGTTCTCCTTTAAGGCAATGCTTATATAGTCTTTAATCAATTGGGAAACTAAATCTTAGGTCATTAATGAGGGAGCTGAACCTCAGTCTTCTCCTGCATCAAGCCTGGCTTCTTGAAGGGGAACAGGGAGGGCAAAATGATGCTCGCTTTGTAAGTGCCTTTTGGTTCTTGGCAGATTCAAGTAGAAATTCTCTGAAGGAAAGTTTTCCAAATTTAGCTATAGGATTCTCACAATTTAAGATCAACAAAATATGATCTATTAGTAGAAATTCACAAAAATTTACAATAAACAACAGATTTAGACCCCCCCCCCCCCCCC